AGAGAGAAGAGAGAGAGGGAGAGAGAGAGAGAGAGGGTGAGGGGGGAGGGAGACAGAGAGAGATGGAGAGCAAGACAGAGAGAAAAAAAGACAAAAAGAAAGAGCCAACATAGTGAGGGATATAAAAAAATAGCCAAAGAGAGAGGGAGAAAAAGAGTGAGAAAGAGAAACAGACAGAGAGAGAGAGAGTCAGACAGACAGACAGACAGACAGAGACAACAAAAGCAAGTATTTTCATTTCTGCCTATTGCACACTTCTACATTCTTACACTCAAAAGAACTGCCACCCAAAGAAACGCCAGGCGCTGGGCCGTCCATTTTGCCAGCAGAAACAGCGATATCAACTACAAGGAGAAGCTGACTATCAGAAGAGAGAGAAGACATAATCCAACCACCCCAACCACGACATTCCAGTGTCCCCACTGCAACAGACATTGTACATCCAAGATCGGATTGCACAGCCACATGCCCGTCCACAGATGAGCTGCAGGATTTCATCGTCATCTTCGGCAACAAAGGACTGCCTACAACAAAAAACATTCTTACAATCTATGCAAAAGTCAGACATCACCTCGTCAACATTCAGGCGCTAAGCAGAAAAAAGTCACACACTCACTCACCCTGGTATACGTAGTAGCCCTTAGAAACACCATTGAAGTTTTCAGGAGGGTCCCAGCCTAGTTTGAGCTGGGATATGGTCACTCCAATCACACGGACATTCACAGGGCTTTCTGGTACTGAAGTGTTAGAGATTACCAATGTGTGGAATGATTATTTAGCTGTGTGCTTGCTGTTTTGTGTTTTGATGTTGTGTTTACTTGAGAAGTTGATAGGATATTGGCTTGTAAAATGTGGGGCATCATGGTGAAATCAGGCGCTCGTCAAAATAATGGAATCAAAGAAATCAGTATTTTTTGGGTCGTAGGGCAATTTTTTCTAATTTTCTTTTCTTGGCTCAACACTTTTTAAAAATACATTTTCATGTGGATTTTACTGTAAAGCATTAAGTAAAAGCACAGAAAATGTAAATTTTCAGTTTCCAAGCACTCTCAGGCTAGGGAAGTTATCAAACTTGACAGCCATTTTCTTGATAATTTTGCCTCTGAAACCAGGCAACCCTGACCTCCTTCAATCGCAAATATTTAGACTTCTATTTAACATAGATGGATATTTTTTTCACCAAAAGGAAGGCAAAAGAACAGGCTTTAAGATGATACTAATTACCCCATATGCCAAAAAATTGTGTCGTGACACAAGTAGGAATTGTAGGAGACCATGGGGATTCAGACACAGAGTACTTGTTTTGGGAGTTTAAGGCGAGTGTATACAATATTATATGTATAAATTGTGCCCTCTCAACTCATATTTGAGGATCCTGAGCCAGAATCTCAGAATGTGTTTTAAAAAGGACGTAGAAGGTGCTGAGCTGAAAAAATAAAATTTAATAAAAATTGACTAACAGTGAGAAAAACGTCAGCTTCTTCTATTTCATTATTTCGATGAGCGCCAGATTTCACCATGATGCAACATACACATTTTTTTAAAATTCATATTTATTGACTGAAAATTAATGAACTCTTCCTACCTACTCTGCTTTTTTAACTATGATGACGATGATGATGATGACAACGATGACGATTATGATGATAATGATGATGATGACCACAATAATGATGATAGTATACTCCTTATTTACATTTTCTGTGCCTTTACTGATTGTGAGACACCAAGCAATTTCGTAATGTAAAAAATATTTACTCATCTATAACAAAATTATATTTTTGTCAAAGACTCATCTTTAAGCTCTTTTTCACCAATGATGATGACAAAGATGACAAAGATGACAATGAGGACAACAGTGGGCAACAACTTACAATCTTCCTCTGTGGTGACAGTGGTAGCTTCACTGAAAGGACTTTCCTCCCCATCTGTGACCGCACGGACCTTGAAGCAGTAGCTGGTGTAGGGGGTCAGGTTTTCCAGCTCACACTGGCACTTGGGACCATTGTAGAAACATTTGCTGCCTGGAGGAGAGGACAAGGTGCATGTTGTTGTGAACGTCGTTGGAAAGGAAAAAATAACAAACTACGATGTGCAATTCAGAGCCAAATTGACTTTTTCAGAGATCCATTCTAAATGAAAATGGCAACATCGTTCTATCTTAATTCGGTTTCGATATCTCTGTTTTCAACAAATACACAAACATCTTTCTATCTTCGTTTGGTATTGACATTTATTTTTTTAATGTGGATATTTTTATGACTCCCTCGATACAATTCGGAACATTTAGGAGGCAGGCTTCCAACCCTACATGTCCGGACTGAGAGGGATACAACATCTCAACAGAAAGAACGAGATTCTTGATAAAAATTTTCTCCACTAAGGAATCAAAATCAGGTCTCCCGATTCCAACACCAAAACACCTAACCACTACACCCTAGACATCCTTCCTTCCTTTCTCTGGCTGGCCTCCGTTAGGAGGGCGGCAGTCTGTCACAAGCAGACAGGTAGCAGTCAAGCCCGTGTGGCCTCGTCCAGAGTACATCCGGGCCCGGTCTCACGTTGTTCTCCATTAGCGGGCCTAGATGTGCATCCCCCAGCGGGCACTCATACAGTGTGCGTTGCAGGTCATCAGGACTTGTGCCAAATGCCAGACAGAAATCATTGGAAGCCGAGCCTATTGCATACAACCTAGACTCCAGATTGATATCTCTGTTTTCAGCAATATAATTATAAATATTACTGAAATTGGACATTTTGAAAAAAGTTACAGGATTTTAAAGTTTTTAGGGGTATAAGGGGAGCAATTCGGATAGGGGAAGGTACGGAGAAGGCCAGGCAAGCCCACATGTGGTTGTGGGAGAGATGTCGAATTTCTGGGTTTGATAGGCCACTGCACTTGCTGTGTATCCATTTGGTGCATCGGATTGAGTAACCGCGGTAGTTCACGTTCCTCTCCGGCCATTATTAGCAGGAGACTCAGATCAGTGGTTCGGCTGAGCCTCCGGACAAAAATGTGGTCGCCTCTATTCCAGTCTAAATCCAGGGGTTGATTGGAGTTGGGTCCAGAGCTGTACTTTTTCCGGGGTCTGCAGCACTGCGTAGAGGTCCCAATAATGACTGTAGTTTAAAAAGTTTTTATTCCATAAGAGACAACACATAACTTTTTAGGTGGTATGTCTTCATTACACCAAAGATTCAGGTACAAATGGTACAACACTCACATCACTCACAGACATAAGATAAATCTCAAAGTCAAAGTAAAGAATCAGAAAACCTTTTGAATTTTTGTCTTACCTTCAAATAGCTGGTACCGAACATCAAAGCCACTCTTAGTCGTGACCTGGTTCCATTCAGCGTGACAGAGATCTGAACCCAGAACTGGAATAAAAAGGGCATAAATGTCATCTACACATATGTTATGACATATTGGAATCAGGCATTCATTCATTTTTGGGCATATGGAGTTATTGGTATCATCTTCACTCTTTGAACCCCATCGGACGCTGGGAGCTTATGGCGGTAATAACCCTGTTCCCCATCAGACGCTGGGAGCATCCAGTTCTAGTGACAACTCGTCGGTTGCCTGATAAAACCGTGAATTCCACAAATTTTCGAAAATCGTTTTTTTTCCATAATTTGATAGTGCTCGGTGAGCTGCAGGTCCCTGTAAAACTATTTTTCAGTTATCTCAACCCAAACGTGTAATTTGACATAATAAGAAAATCGTGAATAAACACTGTGCCCCAAAGGTCGCCTGATGAAACCATGAATCCCACACCTGTGTGGAATTCACGATCTCATCAGTCAGTTTATGACTCGCCAGGCTGACCATTGGTGCCGTGAATGCCTCTTTAGACCATTGAAATATGGGCGACTGCGTTGAGCAAACACAATGGTCGGTCAGTATTAAAGGTTTACATAGGCTGTAGATTATAATTTAAGCGACGTCGAGAGCATGCGTTTTGCGTGAAAAGTCTGTCACATGATTAAAATGTTTGTTTCATAGATGCAGGACTAGTATCATTTCACAATTATTTCTTAATTCGAATGTATGGTGCGTGTGCCCTTTTAGTAGTAGGTTACACAACTTTGATCCTGTTCGTTTGCAAAAAGATAACGTAGTATAGTACACATTACAGTATTTTTCCGTGCTGTATCACAAACCCAACTTGTTTGATATTGAAAGCACGCTGATTTGACATCAGAATTACCTAACGAGAAAAGGAATCTTACGAAGCCGAGGAATGTGAAAAACTTTGGACATCAAAAAAAGCTACAGAACGTCCAGCATGGAAATAGTAGAACCAGACTTCTGTGAACAGAACAAAAGTTGTTTCTTTTTAAACCTCTGAGAGAGAGCGGCCAGCAATGAGCAGCACAATTCAAGAGATAGGACTATTTTTTTAAAATAAACTAAAACACAGATATGATTGCTAAACAAAATCAAACGACTACTCACTATTGAAACACAAAGGCACTGTCTTTGTCTTTGTTAGGACTTGAGGAGAGAGAAAGACCTATGTGAACGGTCTTCTCAACATGTAAGAGTACTGCAAAGGCGACACACCCAGATGAAAAACGCACATTAGGGTTTATTATCTGAAACAGAATGACTAGTAGATCAACGTTTGCTGGAGTATGTTGATATCTATGACCGAACATACCCATTGAAAAATGCTCTAGAAGAGCCCAAGCCAGTTTCATCATCACCTGTCTCACCCTCTACGGACAAAAATACTTTCCAATGTTCCCTCCCTGGGCTAGCTTCTTCATATATTTCAAATGTCTATCCACTTTTGTCTTCATAATTCTCTGCGACTTTTCTACAGGTTCTATATTGCCTTCTCCTTGATCATTTAACTTGTGGATTCCACGTTAACACTTTCTTTGTTATGGAACTACTTGATTTCCTGATGGTATGCTTAATCCAATCCATCTCCACCCTTTTCTTCTGTATTGTTCTCCTTAAATTACTTCCTCGTTGGTGGCTGTCTATCCATCTGATCCTGAGTAGCTTTTAGGGCACTGGTTGATGACAACCTTGATCCTCCAGCACTTTGCAAAGAGTGCATTCGAAGAGTCCCAACCAGCTGCACCCCCAAATAACCCACTAGGGGCCAGCAAACCAAAGAGTTTCTGTTCAAATCTCTGAGGATATGTCTCCTCCAATTATAGCCAGCAAAGCTGTGGAAAACTTTTTCTTGATCCTTGATTTTGTAATCTGTCGGAGCTTCATTGGTTTTGCGAAACAGGTCAGGGACAATCTGCCTTGTGTCTCAGAATACTCAAATATGTGCTAGATGGAAAGAAAATATCAATGATCAATGTGAATTGTACGTGAGTTTTGAGTCTTACAACGTCAGCCATCTATCACTTGCGACACAAGGCAAAAAGTGGTTTGACTGCGAATGAATCCATACGCTGCTTGATAGACTTTCTTTCAACGTGCACACATGTATAGAAGGTTGTTATAATATTTACAGTCACAGGTGTGTTTAGGCGTGTGTATCAGCTCCAAATTGAAGCTCTTTCTAATGCCATGAGTGCTTTCTCCACTAAGGTAAACACCGAAATTGAACACACAAAATCTTATAAGAAGCCACACTCATAATACGGAAAGGGTAGTATGCGCAGTGTCATTGAGCCGCGACTTAAAATAAAACCCACACTTAATATACAGCCAACTAGATTATGTTGCCCTTTTCAGAACTGCAAAAATAATAATATCGAGGCAACACCCTACAATGTGAAATTTGTGGATCACATTTTTGTCATGATTTTGCCAAAATAGCAGTCCACAGCTATACATAAGGAGAAATTATTTACAAACTGACGATGAGTGGGAGGGTCTTCGAAAGTTCAGAAACAAGGAAAAATTCACATACGGTTCCCAACCACTTCATCAATCCCCTTTAAAAATGGCAAAGAATAAATTTCAGGATTGGATATACAAAAAGAGGAAGACAGTGAGAGATGGTCATTTACAGGGTATAAAAGGTTGATGCAAATCAAATTCCCAACCCATTCAATTTCCCCCCCCCCCCCCCCCCCCATCCTAAACACCCCACGCAAAAAAGGTCACAGAAACAAACACGCACGCACGCACGCACACACACACACACACACACATGCACACATTAATTTGGAGAAAGGAAGAAAGAGAGGCAGAGCGAATAAAGTAGTATGATTTCATAAATTTCATACAATAAACTTTACTTCCATACTCCGTTTTCAAATTGGGCTTAAAAAATATTTTTTATATAACAGTATTGCATGTTTTCATGTATTTTAAACGTGCCGGAGCTTCAAACAAGAGAAAACACACTGCTATGCAGCCATGAATACAACACCTCGTTTCAAAAAGCCTACTAGTAATGAAATCGTGAAAAATTCACGACCGCATCAGGCGAGATTCAAAAATGAAATTCGTGAATCCCACACTTTTTTGAAAAGATGACCATCAACGGCAAAAAATGTACTTTAGTATCATTTCTTAAAGGTGCTGGAATAGATTTATCCATTTAGTTTATGTCTTGAGCGTCAAATGACGGAGAAAATCAATTGTTTCCCTCTCCTGTAAAATTTGCTTCGTGTGGAATTCACGATTTCATCAGGCAACAGACGAACTGTTTCGTTTTATTTAGAGCTAGGTTTTGCTTGTTTTTCGGAACTATTCCCGAATCAAGTTTTTTAGCAATGACTATACCTTTGTTTCCGCTATAAAATTTAGATGTTGGAGGCAAGCTTTTGGGGTTCCAATGAGACATACTGCACTAGGTTTAGGTGACTGTAGAAAAAAACCTCCGGGAAACGGTAAAAAAACTCAGGGCTTAAAGAGTTAAAATTTGTTTATAAATCGTCCTTTTGGTGAAAAAATTACTAATCTACCTTGAATTTAAATTGAGATATCTGCAGTTGAAAGAGGTTGAAGTTGTCTGATGTTACAGGTAATATTACCGAGAAATGGCCAAAAAAGTTTGGTGACATCGAAAGCTTGAATGTCCATAGTAACTACAAAATTCCACCTCAGCCATCTTTTAATTTGTCCGGGCCCCCTGCGGTAGGCCATAAATCACCAGCAGGTGACCTGCAATTTCACGCGTCAAGTCGGAGATTGACAGCGGTCAACTCGTGCACAGCGCTATATTATCTTGTCCTTATCAGAACGCATTTCTTCCCCTAATTTCATGAGCCGTAAAATGATGCTCACTCTACCCCTAGAATCTATTTCTTCACCAATTTCGCTTGGTCTACATCTTCTTGGTATCTTGTGAAAGTTTTAACAGTTTTCATTGATTCATTTGGGAATAATAACAGTTTTAAATTATGAGTGTTAAGTGATCAAAAGTGCCAGTAATACTATGATCTCTTCAAATTTAATTACAAATAATTCCAAAATGAAACATTGGAGTTTATTTCTGTTAGCCCGGCGTGATAGCCATCAAATCATATTTTGTAATGATGTGAATTTTGTTTTTCCAGCACTTTGCAGTGACTGGCAATCAGTTAGTGAATTGTGTTCTTAAGCAAAAATTGTTAAACTGCAATGGGTTGGTCACACATATGAGAGGCATAGAGAGTCTCTGAATGAACTTTGCCGGGTGTGATAGTGTTTAAATTTAACTGTCAAACAAACAAAAAGTACAGAAAGCCCAGATTATGTAAGACAATGCCAGGAGATATTCTCTTGATTTATGGAACTGATGTGAGGGGCGAAGATGAACAGTTGCATTCCGCTAACATTTGTGTCAAGTCTTTTACCGCAATTTAAAATATCAAAAGGAGATAGGGTGTTACGTCACGTCAATTCATGCCGCAAAAAAAGCTGAAGACGCTAGCAGGAACTTGTGGTCTGCATTTGACAATAACGTAAATGTGAATTCCTGCTCCATTTGTCGGCATCGCTCGGGTGGCTACATACAAAGATTAAGATCCATTTCATGCAAACATCGCAACACACCCTAAGCATACCTCCATCCCCATGTATACAAGGAACTAACAAACACAATTCGTACAGAAACAAGAAAATACTCCCGCGAAACTGCAAAAAGTGAGGAAGCAAGTGGACTGGAAGCAATATTCAAATGTCTCGATGAAAGATTGAGCCATGTTCACACTGCAATATCACATCTCAAACCAGTCAAACAATTTTCACTTCCAGAAATCCTCGTAGCAATCGACAATTACATGGCCGCATTCAGACGCTACTTCCCAGCAAAGTTATCCCAAAACTACAAATATCATAACAACACTGTATTCCACACATACAACAACATATGTTCGCTCTCTGACTTTTGGGAGAACAGGACACAGAAAGCAGCCACCAAGCGATCTCAAAACTGGAAGCCAGAGCACGAAGAATCCCAAACCAGAGACATAATGCATTTTATTTTTGTGTCGCATCTCCTGCAAACAGCACCCTCAATGCGTTCTGCTGGATATGTTAAGAAAGAAAAATTGTGTTTAGACTTTTATTCTGTACATCTTCATTTTGGGAAAAGGAATCGGTGCTGTATATTGAAGATACGTCAGTATATCATTATTCAGGAAGATACACATTTCATTGGATACAAAAAGTCATGAATGCAGGGAAGCATTTTGGCTATCATGCTCATGACAAGTTCCATGTTCGTGCTGGAAACAAAATTTTGAAAGAGTCAATTTCTAAACACTTTTCCTGTTATACGTAGAAGTTTTGTAAGTATTTAATGTTAGGCTTACAAGTTATTATTAACTCAAAATGTGTTTGTTATTTTGACTAATTATAAATAGATATACATTTTAAGCGCAATTAACTCCTTAACGTGGGCAGCCATGGTATTGCTATTTCGTACCAATAAAGAAGTTAAGTTGCTTTCTCTAAAGAACAAACTTGTGTTCACGTATGATATTTTTTGTTTGTGTAAGACGATAAAACACGTGTTGAAAAATTCATTTCACCGGCTACCGACGCAGGTAGCGGGAGGTCGGGTTAGTGACCTCTGTGTGACTGGCCTGCCGTGACCCGGTCACTCCATCGCCGACCCAACTAAAAGAGCGGTGTTTGTACGCCGTGCTTTGATCAACATAAAATCCACTCAGAAATATGTTTTTGAATGAACATAATAGATGTTGAGCCCCCAAAAGATTCAATAAAAATTGCCGAAGGAGAGGAAAAAAAATGTTCATTTCTTCAATATCATTATTTTGATGATGAGAACCAGATTTCACCATAATGCCACACATTTAATACTATACCTTTTTTAAAAATTGGAAATTGAAAACAAATAACATCTTTTCCTGGTTCACACAGGAAAATAATATTCTGCCCTATTTTCATTACAAACAAATAATATTTAACAAAGTACACAAGAGTCTAGGATACAGAATCCAAGCAAAAAGATTAAAACATTCGATAAACCCTTTTGAGCGTTTCAGCAGAGCCTTACCCTTACATCACAGGCTCCAGAATGCATACTGAACTGATCTTAGCTTTAAAAAAAAAGTTTTTTTTTAAACTACAAAAAAGATATGTATTGTAACATTTACAAGAGGGGTGTTCTTAGTTTGTTCAAGAAAAGCAATAGACATACATGTCACAACATGGTGAAATCAGACACTCCTCAATGTTGGGGCATATGGAGTCATTATTATCATCTTAAAGCCTGTTCATTTGTCTTGCTTTTGATGAAAAAATGCCAATCTATCTTGAATAAAAGTCAAGATATTTGCCATTGAAGTAGGTGGGGGTCACCTAGTGTAAGGGGTAAAATCAGTGAAAAAATGGCTACCAAAGGTTGGTGCTTTCCAAAGCTGTAGTGTCCTTGGAAACTAAAGATCTACATTTTTTATGCCTTCTTCTTCTTCTCGATCACATCACACTTGAAGTCTGGTATCTGTCATAAATTGGGCCGTCCTGCTCAGTTCATCTGTCGGCCCGTATAGCTTCTCTTGCAGCGTCAGTGGGGTTGGCCACGTTTCCTGTCTCAGAGCCCTGTGTGTCTTGCAGTGCTGAAGGATGTGCTCAACAGTTTGGTCCGCCTCTCCACACTGGCATTTTGGTGATTGTACTAGTTTAAAACATTTGTACATATGTTGTCTCAGTCTTGTGTGTTGTGTCCTTAGTCTGAAGATAATCACTTGTTCTTGGCGGGACAGCTCATGGTAACCATCTGGTGTCTGAGGTGCTTTAAATAGTGTACTTATAATAGTTTTTATTTCTGTGCAGTTAACGCTGTTGTCTGGTTGCTCTTTCTGTGCTCCTAGTTTGGCCATCCTGTCTGCCTGCTCATTTCCCAAGACACCACAGTGTGATGGAATCCACTGCAGCATGATCCTCAGACATGGGATGTCCTCAATTTCTTTTCGTAGCCTTGGTAGTTTGCAGGAAGTGATTGCCTGCAGTACTGACATGGCATCTGTCAGGAACACTACTTGGCTTTGGGGGTCTCCCACATTCTTGATGATGTTTGCTGCATGTATTAGAGCCTCCGTCTCTGCCCTGTAGTTTGTACAATGTGGCCCTGTTGGGACTGCCTCTGCTTGTCGTCATCCATTAGGGAATTGTACGTACACTCCGGCTCCTCCTCTTTTCACAGCATCAGTGGCAGATCCGTCTGTATAGATCCTTATCCATGCTTCTCATGGGTATCTTTGTTCAAGCATGGACAGGGTGAGGGACTTCCTGCTCAGGTCGCTGTGGTCATCTTTTGTGGTGAACTTAGGAATGGACGTGTGTATAATTATGTTTGTGTTTTTCTTTTCCCATGATGGTGCCTCTGGGGTATGGTTCAGCATGTTCACTGTGGCTGGTAGATGGTCCTGTAGGGATCTTTGGATTTTTCTGCTTTCTTTGATGAAGTTGGACCTTTTTAGTCTTGTGGTGTTTGATCTGGCTGTTCTTGTGTGCAGTATATGATCCTCCATAGCTGTGGCCTTGGTGTACTGTATGAGGGCCTTGCATTCCCATCTCCTCTTCAGGGCCACTATAGATGTTGTTTGTTCCATCTTTTCTATAGGCGTTGACCTCATTGCTCCAGTGATTATTCGGAGAGCCTGGTTTTGCACTTTTTCCAGAGTTTTTGTGAGTCTGTGCTGCAGTCATCCATGCACTGGATCCGTACTCGAGATGGGGGCCTGATTGCGCCTAGATAGACCTGTCTAAGTGTTTTCTCATTTGCTCCCCACTGAGTCCCTGCTAGTTTTCTCATGATGTTAAGTTTCTTCCTGGCTTTAGTATCTGCATTTTGAATGTGTTGTTTCCATGTGAGACGTTTGTCAAAGATTATTCCAAGATACTTCTGTTGATTCTCGAACTTTAGGGGGGTATTGTCTAATGTGAGGTGTTTTGGCTCAGCCTGGCTGAGAGTGAAGAGTGTAGCAGAAGACTTTTCTTTGTTTACGGTTACACACCAGGTTTTTGTCCATGTAGTGAGTTTGTCCAATCAATGCTAGTTGCATGCGATATGTGGCAGTAGTGATGAATTCCTCTGAGCACCAAAGAACCAGGTCGTCTGCATACAATGCGGCATGTATTCCTTTGTTTTTATGCCTTTAATCAATGTTTTTCAGTAAACTCCACACGGGAATGGGTTTTTAAACGGACAAAAAATGTGTTGAGTTCAAAACACAAAACTCAATCAAAATATCCCAACTAATGGAAAAATGGCGGTTTCTTCTAATGCATTATTTAGAAGAGAACCAGATTTCATCACCATGCCACACAAATGATAGGTTCTTTGGTGGTTTGAAAAAATAAACTGACAAAAGTGAAAAATATGAACATGAAAGGAACACACCTAGCCAGTAGAGCTTTTTAACTGTCCACAAGAAAGGATGCCAAAACAGAGAATTTCAAAACAATTAGATATCCAGCAATCACATCTGGATACCAAAAACACAGGATACCTGTAATGGTAGGGGGGTCAGGAGGCTCCAGGCGCTTGAGGATTTCTAGTGTGATGATCACTTCTTCTTTCAGATCTGGGTTTACATCAGAAAGCTGCTCAATTTTCTGAGAGGAAAAGTGAAAAAATTAAAAACAATGCCGAATGGACTTGCTATAAATTTAACATATTTTGGCCAAAAAATTGGCGAACAGGCAGATACCATACCCTTTGAAAATGACAAGCAGACTGGTTAGTCCAGAGGAATGTACTCCCTAAGCAAGGTCCCCACTCCAATACCCACTCATATCTCATTTGATGTAGCTAATGAATGATCTCAGGAATTTTCTGCATTTTGTCATATCTGTAATCACCAGGTTGGGGGTATGGGAACAAACAGATTGTCTTCCTGGACATGGATCTAAATGCACAGATACAATACAAGATAGCTTTGCAGAAAAAAGTCATAGCACAGTAGGCCCATAAAGGAGAGCTGGCAGGGAAACATGTAAAATAAACTATACCCAGAATTTCTGGTCGTGTTGAAGAGAACCACTAAAAAATTACTCATGACACTGTCTGAAAGGGGAAGAACACAACATTTTGGAGGGGGGATTTTTTAATAACAAAATGTTCAAATAAAAAACAAAACAAAACAGGAGTGCAGCAGTTTGAAGAATAAGAAAACTACATGTACTGAGGAGGAAGAAAAATAGGAGGACTAGGAGTAGAAGGAGCAGGGTGATGG